TCCTCACTCCGTTGTCATTCACTTTGTCTTCTCCGTGCTGCCCGATCGCTTGTCCTCTACTGGAAGCTTTCCCTACTCTGGAATTGAAATCGCCCACCATGACAACTTCTCCCGTCCTACTGAGCCTTTGGACATGTTCCCCAATTTGTCGAAAGTTCTTCTGCGCCTTGCTTGCGACTTTCTTCGACGACGGTGGGACGAACACGTTCCCTAGAAACAAATCTTTCTCACCCCGCTCCCCAGGTATCTTAAGCCATAGGCTTTCCTCGAACTCCGTTTTCACCACTACTTCCACCACGTCAAACAAGTATTCCTTGACCAGGAATCCGACTCCTCCCTCCCCCCTTTTCTTCGGGTCTAAGTCTTTTCCTGCCTTCCCGATCCACCAGTACTTCCCTAGTTTGCTTACCACGTCACCGTTCGAGGGGGGGTTCCAATTCCTCTATATATCATGCGCGCCTCGCTGGGGACCTAGGTTTGCGTCCGGGTACCCCAATGCGTGAGCAAGGATCTACTTTTGCGAACACCCGAGTCATGACCACAAAACGGACACGTAGCATGTTTCGACCACCTTATCCGCTCATAGTGTGTGTGAAACGAAGACACTAGTAGCACACGATGGGCCCTTCATATGCGGGTCGCTCGAAGTGGGCTCTACACAACACGAAAGCAAATTGTAAACAATATCTCAAGTATTGTTATCGGCCCTTCGCCGGGGGCGCGGAGGGGCCACCTTGGTGTGCGGGACTAATGCTTTCAGGTACCATTAGTAGTGATGATAAATTCGTTCCTTTGTTGGGTTGCACATTTTTCCTACTTCGGCATTGCTCTCGTGCTTTATGCAGTTACGCTCTCCAACACGAGATCCTTTGGGCCAGTCATGTAACAACCACGGAAATCCTGCGTGCCCCAGAGGACTCAAACCTACATCGCACTGAGCATTCATATATGAACTGAACGTTTGATGTCTCTCTCGGCAAGGCAAGGCAATGTAGATGCCGGCTTGTGTTTCCCGCTGAACACGACGGAGAGGCATTGCCAAGAATCGTCCTCTCACCTGGCAAGCCCCTATGCAGTCGCTCATGTCCACCACGCTCTTCGCAGTAAGCAGCACCTTGTGGATAACCATGACCTTATTCGGCGTGAAGACGCCCATCACCCCTTCTGCAACGCCACGTTCTCGGCTCACGAAATGCTTCGAGCAAGACCTGCGGTTGGGGTTGCCATCTGATTCCCAAAACGAGTGCAGCTGCTGCAGGATCGACACCATCGGCTCCTTGGTCGAGAACCTACGAGCAAAAAAGGAAAAATGGCACACGACGCAAGAGGGCATAAGAGGAATACAGCCATACTGCGATGGCCGGACAACACGCGTCGTTCAACAGCCACCTACTATCTGACGCACGCCAAGAAATAATTGATGGTTCCAAATAACATCAACAGCGTCTCAACTCGTGCGACTTGTGCGGGCAAACAACGGATCTCTGGTTAAGAATGCCCACAAAACGCAAGGGGTACTGTTTGTGAGGAATATAACTCGTATGCACATGAGGGTATGCTCTCTACATGTACATCGAACAAACTGGATAGCTAGCCCACGAAGCGATCCAGGTATTTTTCGGGCATTTTCCAGGGTCAACCTCTACGCGTTGGAGGGAGAGTGGGTTGCTTCCCGGACCAAACATATTCGGTCGCTGTTCTGCTACAAAATTCCCCGCTCGACACCCGAAAGACAAAAATAAATGGCGTGAAATAGAGGGGATGCGGAGGTAGGGTGGAGAACAAGAGAACCAAAGGAGGCAGCCTCATGAAAAACGAAAAACGATTTCAAGCCGAAGCAGGTAATCAAATCTGTGCCAATGCATACACGGTCGTGCCTTCAATTGTTCTTGAAGGCACACACACACACGTAGCTGAGTCAGCAGACCACAACCACCTTATAACTCTAATTCTATATGCTGTGACTCTGCACTCACTTTGAAACGCCTCCATCGGGCCAGCAGGCCTTCATGTGCCCTTTCAGGGTCGCCACGTTCATGCCGGACAGGTCACCGATCGCCTTCCCCTCCAGCCTCTCGATAAGGAAAGCGCCATTACCTTGCTCAACGAAGGCGGTGTTGTTGCTTCCCTGCAACACCCCACGCTGTGTCTTGTGGAAGATCTCCGACAGTCGAATGTCTGGCGACACCCACGCTGGCGCGTTTCCAACCGTCTCCCCGGCCCCGACCACAAACTGTACCCTTGTGCCGCCGAACCAGGCCGGCGATACAATGCTCAACTGCAGAAGATTCATGACGAGGTCAGTGTTTATGTCTTGCTCGGGTGTCGACGCGATCACTTGCCCCAGAGTCACCGAGTTGCAGGCGTCGAAAGTGAGCATCGGCGGAAACTTCCCCCACATCCAGCACCGAAACTCGAAAGTGTGGTCGATGAGGGCCAGGAACGCCAAGAAAATGCTGTTGAGCACGTTGAGCAAGTTGGTGCCGTTTGCGAGCCTGGACGTGGAGGTCATGCGCGAAGAAAAAATCGTCGGCAAAATGCGGTTGTTTGTCACTACACACATTCTGTTCAAAATTCAACAAGAAACAAAGTCTGCACCAAGCCCCCCCTTCGATGCAATAGCAACACGTTTTTCGACAACAACGAACCGCTTCGCATGCTAGCAGGGTAGAGTGGGCACTACGGATTTTTTTCTACTTTAAGTAATAATCAAGCATGCCCAAGGGGGAAATGGTGCAATGGGTGGTGCCTAGAATTCGGGAAAGAGAAAGGTCTTCAGATCGCCAGCTTTCAAGGAGACCAAACTGGAAAACAGGATCGATTATTATCTGAGTTTGTGCGAAATGATGAGCCCTGGTAGTTTCGGTATCCAATGCGACCATGCCATATTTTTTGCTGCGAAACACGCCCGAGTAGCCTGCTACACCGCCAGCTAAACAGCGATTGGTGAGAAGGATGACAATGATAGGTGGGCCTTGACAGACACATTTATATATCATCGTGGAACATTACACTTACCTTTTGCTGAGATCAGGGTTCGCCTTGATCCAGACCAGGTCACTCGCCAAAGGTTCTAAAAACGTCTCGAAGACGGCGCATATAGTCGTACCCCTGGTGAACGCCTCCAGGCATCTGTATAGGATAGACAGCTCCACCAGGTAGCTGTTGTTGTAGTTGAACAGACCAGTCTCCCGCCAGTTGTCATTGGCGAATCCGTGGATACCGCACGTCTCACACTCGTTTGTGTGCACGTTCACTTTCGACATGCCTGGTCCCTGCAACAAGACACACATAGCATATTGTTAGCAGACCGATATGTCGTACTCGGCGGGTACATCTCGCATCATCACCAGCGGTTTCGTTCAGGATGGCGATTCCAGGATTTTCGGGAAGGTCGGGCGATTGCCACCGATTCACCCCTCTTTCATGAGCATTCGGGAGAGTGTGCACGGCCTGTCGACACCCACAAACAAGACGTAGGGGTGCCCACCCTATTTTCTCTGATTTCCGTTGCCATCGAACATGGTACTCGACAGCCGGCGCCAACAGTATGAATGCTGCCACAAGCACTGCCACAACAATAGATACAACTAAAAGACAACCATACAGTGCGGGTACAGTGCAGGCGCAGGACAACTACGTCGCCTGTTCAGGAGTGGATGAGGGTGGGGGCATCTAAAATGTTTGCCTCCGGCACACACGCTGTCGACTTCGCTCATACCCTCAAGGCGAGCCGCATGCTGAGCAGGGTACTGCCACAAAGTTCCCACAGAGATGCTGCACTCACCTCTGTCAACCGAGTCGGAACCACGCTATGCTGACTCTCCGCAGGGAAGTCACGACCACACCCTGAACACGTCTTCTGAGATGTAGTGTACGTGATGCTGGCGTTTGCGTTGGTGGTGGCACCACGACGTCCCAGGCCGAAAGGGAGGTTCTCCGGGAACTTGATGACCGACATGGTGTTCAGGCAGTTTGCCAAGCACTTGCGATACGCCGGTGCATCCTTGTCGAGCATTTTCTGCGCCGTGCGCGGCGTTCCATCTGGAATTCTACCTCCATCCACGTCTACCTGCTCGACACCCAGCCCTTCATCTCGCATACCCTCCTCTTGCCAAAGCGCAAGGGCGACCACCAACGTGTGAAGACACTTTCGGTTCTTCTTCTCGAACTCGCTACAGGGTCCCCCCCGGTTTGCCTGTGCCGGGTACATGTGCGATGTATCCATGTGACATTGGTGCAAACGTATTTCGCGGAGGGATATTAGATTGGACAAGGTATCAAACGGCGGTACATTGAGAATAGCGCAATCGACGATGCTTACTCCCCACACAATGTGACCACAATGTCGTACCCCCCCCCCCCCCCTCTTGGCAACGACGTTGTAAAACAAGCCAATTCGCTTCGTGAACTCGGCATCCAAGTTACCGATTTTTTTTGTACCGCAGTTTGTTTTTGGCGGTAACCAGAATGGTGGTCGAGTAGATCATGTTGTGCGGGGTGGAGAACCCTCACTCCGCGCAAGGGGGATGATCGCACCACGTTGTGTTAAAATGGTCAAGCACCCTCGAGGCAGTTACACAGTGCTTACAACTGTCTCTGGAAGTGAAAGCACCAGAAAGTAAATTAAGTCATACGCAGCTGTCATCCGTACGCAAGGAAGTAAGCACAAGATGCCGAA